GTGGTTGACCAAGTACCACTAAAGAAAGGTCATAGAGGTAAACAGTTGGATGTTATGCATTATGGTTATGAAGAGAGACTCTATGTCAGCTATATCTGGTTACCTTTCTCCAGTCAACTAGGCCTCTAGTAGAAGCCAGAATTCAATAACCTCATCAACATAAGAAATATACAGAAACATAAATAGATAAGAGTTGGTAGATGCAGCCAGATCTCTGAGACTCTTTAAACATCAACTTCACTTTATAGTGGCATTAGTTCTTTAGGCATGTCTTGAGTTCTGTAAGTTCTGAATCAGGAAGCCATATTGACTGCATGTTGGATGCCTCTTTCTTTCTTCTGATGAATTGTGTATTTATTAGAATTGAGTGATGGCAGAAAGAACAGGCTAGCTTGGCCAATTCTGTCCTCCAACCAAACAGTGGCTTAAAAATGCTCAACAAAGGAGAACAGGATTACAGTTGAGTTCTAGAAAGAGACCCTTGCCAGTAGCGCTGCGGAAGTTCAAACACCCTGTTTCATGCTACCAAAAATAATCACGGCACTGTTCCCATAGCACCCAGAGTACTTCCTCTTTCATAACACACCTCACAACTATAATCATCGCCAGATGCCACAGGCAGGTTGCATAGTTACTGGGCTCGCTTCTGTCCCTGCATCGTTAGATGTGCAGACTGATCCTGAACATCTAAGATTGCCTGATACTAAATTGGACCCAATTATTGGTTCAAATAATAGCTATTATTTGTATATAAGGTTAATATATATGGGGAAGAGGGGACTTCAACTTATGCTAAACTGTCTCTTCTTTGGGAAGAACCATTCCTTTCTATTGAAGGAAAGGGGATTCTCATAATATTTCCCAACCTCCATTGCCTGACAAGCTCTATGTCTCATCAGTTCCCTGGGCAAAGTTACCAGGACATAGTGAAGTATCTAAATACTCTGCTCACTGAAGTTATGGGGGGGGAGGGAAGGGGCAGGTATGTTCATTTGTTTTTATTGTTGCTTGTGCCAGTCCTGAGGCTTGAACTCGGGGCCTAGATACTGTCCCTGAGCCTATTTTTTTTTCTCAAGGCTAGCACTCTACTCCTTGAGCCACTGCTCCACTTCTGGCTTTTTGGTGGTGAATTAAAGACAAGAAACTTAGGGATTTTTCTGTCCAAACTGGCTACAAACCTTGATTCTCAGATCTCAGCTCCCTGAGTAGCTAGGATTACAAATATGAGCCACTGGCACCCAGCTTCAGTGAAGTTTTGAGGATACAAGGATTCTGCTTAAGTAGTAGAAGCCTAGGAAGTAGAGAGAGGGAAAGAGAAAGGGAGAAAGGGAGGGAGGGGAAGGGAGAGGAAGAGAGGGAGGGAGGGATAGAGGGAATGAACTACCTGAAGATGAAAACTTGATTCTTGGTGGCCACAGCTGGAGCAGTGAATAGCAAGCAGTGAAGACTTTTGGACCAAGCACCAGAACTGGGTTCTTATTTGAACTCTTGATTCAGTGATGTGGTCTTGTGAAAATCACTTCTTATCTTCTTTGGGTTTTAGATAAGGCACTGTTAATAAGGATTGTCTTCTGGTTGTTTGGACCCAGGCTTCCTGATCCCTTACTCATCTACCTGTGCTCTCTGAATGCTCTACACTAAGCACTTTGGGGACTACCAACTACTACACTGGGTAGTCCCCATTGCCAGGAACTTCTGATCCAGTGGAGAAACTGAGCCTGTATTGGCCATCATCCTTCCATACTCTGCCTACTGTGCCCCCTGGCTGAGGAAGCAGCTTAAAGAAAATGCTACTCAGGGAACCCCCCCTCCTTCTTGTACAATGATGCTGAGTGTAGCAACATTAACGAAAAGCAACAGACCACTGACTGGGGAGCCACCTCGTCTCTGTCTTCTGGCCTCTGGCTCTGGACATAATCATTATGTATGCACACCCTACATTCATATCCAAGCTTCAGTAAGATGCCCTCAGCCCAGAAGGGAGCTGAACTGTATTACAGTAAAAGGATCACATATTTGGGACCACACCTAACTTTGAACTGTAGCTTCACTTTTGATGAGCAAGTTATTTGTTCAGCTTTCTAGAGTATCTGTCATCTTATCTTTTAAGTGGGGACAACAATGGGAAAAGAGATTGTTTAGCTTTGAAGGGAGGGGATGTCAGTAAGCACCAGTGACCCAATAGTAAGATATCTATTGATTCTTTCTCTATCCCTTTCCTTTCCCTCTCATAAAATCTGTACATCATTACCAAGAGTACACCCAAAGTGAGGAAGGCAAAAAGGTTTGGAAGGTGGGGAAACAGAAAGCTTTATACTCATTTATTCTCAAATGTCTCCTGCACATCTGTGCCTCTTCCCCGATTATTGCTCTAGAGCATGGCACCATCAATTATAATAGCTGTAACACAAGGTAAGAGGAGCTAGGGGCCAGTATGAAAGCTCTGAAGTGGAGCAGCAAGGAAAGGGGGCAAAGGCCTGGGAAAACGGATGCCGGTTGGAACGTTTAAACTCGATCTGGATGAACAGATTTGGCTGGATAGAAACACGCAAAGGCTGTGTTGGTAGAGATAAGCCAGACTGACAAGGGAAATCCATGAGAATAAAGGGGTGCTTTGGGGTGGCAGGGCTTCCCATCTTTTATTCCGTACACAGTCATGACACTCCTGCTGTACGCTCAGAGCAGCCTATAAGCACAGTCCATAAGGTCATTGTCCTTATGAGCTCACTGCCTAGTGACAGGCAGGAAACAAAAGGCAAATAAAGTCATTACAATTTACAACCAGTACTTTAAAAGACACAAGGTATTGAAAAGGACAACTGAAGAGAAGGATGGCATTAAAGATGCTCGTGATCAAGGCTGACCTTGCTGAGAAGAGGGTAGGAATTGGAAGGGAGCCTTTACAGCCTGAGCAGAGGTGGAGAGGGCAGCAAGGAGGCTGGAAGGGCTGGAAAGCATTGGTATCAACTTCAGGCTTTATTCTGTACTCCAAATGGGGAACTGATGCCGAATTTTGAGCAGGAGAATGGTTTGAAAGATTATTCTTTCTATAATGTGAATGCATTGTTATCTACTGCTGCATAACAGAACTGTCACAAACAGTCACCTCAAACAACACCCATTTATTATCTTATGGTTTCTGTGGGTCAGCCGTCCAAGCATGGCCTAGCTGTGCGCTCTGAAGAATGAGTGACACAATAGTAGAGTCATCATAGCTCATGTTTTGCAAGTGTCCAAACCTAGCATTTCCATCTGTGTATGTGTGTGTGTGTGTGTGTGTGTGTGTGTGTTGTTTATTTAAACTGGGTCATCTTTGGCAAGTGACATTAAATCTCTTAACTTGGGGATTCCCCATCCATGAAATGGTAATAATAATACCCACTATTACTACTGGATTCTAATCAAGAATAAATGATGCAATAAAAATATCTGCTATGGAGAGCAGAATAAAACCACATCGTCAATAAGCAGTATGTACAGTATCATGAGGATTGCCTCAAGTCAACCAAACTTGCCAGAGACTTGGAATATTAAAATATTTGAAGAATACCGTGCCAGGCAAATTGGATGTTCATGTCATGTGGACAACACATTTTTGCCTTGGAAGGAATGCCTGCATGGAAAGACTGCACGCTATTTTGTGAGTTAGAAGAAGGGCAGAAGGAGATGATGGACCTCTGGGGAAATGCAATTGTAATGAAGGATATGGACTGCATATACTGCGCAGACCACCCTTCGTGGTGTAAGGCAGAGATAGAGTGGCTGGTGCTTGATCTCAAGGGCTCTTTGTAGGCATCAAATAGTCTCCCTCCTTTTGTCTTATTCTTAGGTGGGATATGACTTACTTGATTTGGCTGTTTTGGCTATTTGAAGTCCAGGCCTGAGGAAGCCATCCCTTTACCACACTTGGGCAGGGGTGTTTCTTAAGATGACACTGTCTTTCAGGATGTCCCTTCTTTAGCCAACATCTAAGCTCATTTAATGCCATAACAAGTGATGAAATCTCAAGTTGGAGAGGGGTAGATGTATTTGATGGTGCAGTTGTATTTAACATATTCTAAATACACAGTTTACTCTGAAGTGCGACTTTATAGATGAGGATTACAGATGGCAGGATTCCCTATTTAAGGATGGAGACAGAGTCCAGGCCTTGTCTCTCTATGTCTCATGCTACTTTTTTTTTTTTTTAACTGTTAAGCAGCCCCATTACTTTGCAAGTTTTATGTATGATTCAAATTCACCAAAACAAATTAAAACTGGGGGATTGGGAGGAGAGGAAGCAAGGAAGGAAAAAGAAAGTTTATTTCTCTCCATCATAATAAGATCTCTATCCAGTTTCCAAACAAAGAGAAAGCAAGAAGGGAGGGAAGGAAGGAAGGAAGGAAGGAAGGAAGGAAGGAAGGAAGGAAGGAAGGAAGGAAGGAAGGAAGGAAAGGAAAGGAAAGGAAAGGAAAGGAAAGGAAAGGAAAGGAAACTTAATTTCTCTCCATCGTACTAAAATCTCCGTGCAAACAAACCCCAGCAGCTTGCCCTCACAAAGCACCCTCCCCAGCGGGGCTTTCCGGGCACAGCTCTAGCGGGAGCAACCCACTTGCCTCCCGGCCCCGCCCTCCAGTCCCCCCTCGGTGTTTTCCCGGCCCCCGAAGGAGAGCTGAAAGGTCCACGGCTCGGCGCCACTGGTTCCCCACCGCGCTTTCTTCTCCGATGCGCTCGGCCCGGTAGGTTCATCGCGCGGATCCCCCTAAAGGGCACTTGGAGCCCGGCGCGTGCTCGATCAGCCGGGGACAGGCACCGAAGCCCTGCCTCCTGGAGTTGCGCTGAAGTAACTGTCAAGCAGCTGCCTCCCCGTCCCCCCGCCTCCCCTCCTCCGCCGCCCCTCCCCTCCCCGCACCGTGACGCCGAGCCCCCGCGCGCCTCCCCCTCCTCCGCGCTCCCCGCCCCTCCGGCCCCGCGGCGCGGTGCTCGCTTCTCCGCTGGGCGCTCCGCCACCCTCGCGCCCGCCCGGCCCCCCAGCTTCACCCCTGCAGCGGCTGCGATCGAACGTCGCGCGGGGACGCGGACTGTCACCCGTGGCCTTGCCCCCCCCCCCGCTCACCCACGTGAGGCGAGCTCGGGCTGTCCGCAAAGCCAGAGAGGCGCGGGGCAGCCAGGGGGCTTCACGCGGGTGGAGAGAGACCTTCCCGGCCCATGAGTCCTGGCGTCCCGGGTCATGACAAGAAGCGCTCGTCTTTAGGTAGGTGCATCTGGCTTGGGGTTGGTTTGTTGTGATTGTCCTTTTCGTTTGCTTCTGACAGGACTTGCAATCTCCAGTCCGTGGGGGGAGCAGGGGGAGGGTGTCCTCCACTTGAAGGAGCAGTTGGGACTAGGGCGTCCACCCCGGCCGGGTCGGCATCTGATGCCACGGGGGGCTTGGGGGGGGGGGGAATGGAGGACAGGAGAGGAGCACGCACAGGTTTTGCGTTTTTGAAGGGTGCCTTGGAGAGTGAAAGGTTCGAGACGCCCGTGGCTGAATCCGATGGGGTTGGGGAATCCGAGAAGCGCTGGGCTAGGGGATCCGGGTGGGGTGGGGAGATGGGGAGGGCTGCGTCTGGGAGCCCGCGGATGAGGGTCTTGGGTGGTCGGTCCCCCCACACACACCAGATGCTGAATGACTTCCGGCACCCAGCAGCAATGGAGAACCCCCACGCAGGGTGGGTTCACGGTCTCCAGGGTCTGACCAATTGAGTTTGGGTATGAACCCCCCCCCTTCTTCCCCGCGTCTGAATTCCAAATTGGCTGAGTGGGGTTGGGGTTGGGGGTGCAAATTGGGAAGAAAACCAAGGAAGAGAAAGGTGTTTTTGCCTTGCTGCCAGCCTGGGTTTGGAAAGGGGGGGGGGGGGGCGCAGAGGGGAATGCACCTGAGGACCCAGCATCCTCGCAGGTATCTGGATTGGGGGCGGGGGGGGGGGGGAAGGCTCCAGAAGGCAAACGTCTGCAGCTGTGCCGCCCCCTCGCAGATCCCATCTGATGGGATCAGCCAATGGAGACCCCTTACTTCTTAATTTTATTGTCAAGGTGATGTACAAAAACCCCTTACTTTGGAAGAGTGTTAGGTAGGTGCCTTTTGAAATTCACTTAGTAAAGTCACCCAGGTATGGAGGTGGCAGAAAGCTTGTGCAGTGACAGCTCCCTCAGGAGCAAGTGGGCTGGTTCCATTAGAGTGGAATTGGGGGGGGGGGGGGAGATAGGTTTGCCAGCCTCTTGGAAATACCAATGTGTTGCATGAGTAACTGAGGAGAAATGGCTGAGCATTGTAGCTAGGGCAACAGCTGTGATTGTCTTAGAAAACACCTTGGGGGCTCTTTCCTCTCCCCCCTCCCCCTACTTTCCACTTGAGCTGTTTCTCCTGTGTGAGCAGCTGCTTCGTTGTTACCTGACACACAATCATTTCTCCCCCCCTCCCCCTCCCACACACACTTTTTGGTCTTTTCTCAGGTTTGTTTGGCTCTGAGAATGTTCCCTCCTTTCCTCTCTGAGCCTAGAATTCCTAGTGGTTTACTTCTCCTCCTCTTGGTCCTCCAGCTTTTTCCTTCCAGCCTTTTGAGTCTGCCTACTCACACTGACTAGCTCCATGCAACTGTTTTATCTTCTGTCACCAGCAGGAGATGTCAGCCATGAACTCTTCCCCCAAACCAAGATCATCACATCCAATCTCTAGTGGTTAATTAGGAAGCAGCTAGTAGCTCTCCTCCTTCACAGGAAGCAATTGCAGGGGTGTGTCTGTAAGGTAGCAGTAGCTTGAGGAACAGGCCTCCAGCTCCCCCCATTATCTGCCCTCCAACCCAGCACTATTACCTCCCCCCCCCCAATCAGCAGCCCCTTCAGAGATACTGACAAAAATGTTAGTTTTCTCTCTCACTGTCCCCAAGGGGGTAATGCCTTTTGCCTGTCCAAAGACTGACTATATCCAAAACATCTAAAAACTAACCGTGGAGGGGCTTAGTTTAAAAAATAACAACAAAAAACTCCACATGCTGCCTTTATTGCTTTTCCAAGAGACACCCCCCCCCCCAATTTCTGTTGCTTCTTTCTTCCTCTGATGCTCTGATGTGGGATTTTTGCTTTGAATATTTTATCCTCAGCAGAAATATAAAGAAATACCAAGCTAGAGAGAAGGAAAACGGAATGCATACACAAGAGACTTGTATAGAATTCTCATTACCCAAACACAAAATAAGATTCCAGCAGAGAAGGGACCTGTCCCATTGCAAGGACAAGTTGTAGAGAAGCCAAAGGTAGGGGGAGGAGGGGAATGGAGGAGGAGGAGGATCTATGACTAGATCTGGAGCGCTAAACTCCCATGTGTCAATAGTAAAGTACCCTGCCAATGGCTGCCATGCATGTTGACCTAAATCTGAGGTCACCAAAATGGAACCATCTCTGCCATGATTGAAACAAAAAACAACCAGCCCACAGGTGATAACAAGGCACTTCGCTGTTACATTTTAAACTGACTTACTGGTTCTTAATTCAGCTTTCTGTCCTGAGACCAAAACATATACAAGGCAGCTGTGGAAGGTTGACAGTATAGCTTCCAGATATTCAAGGGTCAGATCAGATCCTGCAAACAATAGTCTCCTTGAGTTGAAGAGTTTGCAACCAATTTTCTTTCATCAGCCATTGCATTCAATGAATTGGGATTTTTTTTAAAAATAAAATAAAAAGCTGTCTTGTTTTTATTCTGAAAAGATGTCAGAAGTCTAAAACCACTTTCTTGCCTTTCTTGGGAGGAAGTGGCAGCGAAAGTTGTTTTCTTTATTTGTATTTCTTTATTGCTCCTCTGGGCAATGGCAGATTGGACTTTCCATTTGGCCTTCCTGTGCCCTGGTAGCCACAAACAGGGCCTGGTGCTTGTGACCAGCTCCTTTACCAGGGTTAGTTTCATCTGCCAAGCAAAAGCTCCTTGAGCTGGGAGAGATAGACAGCTTGTGTTTGTGGCCATTCAACCAGAAAAGAATACCAGCTGAAATCAGACAATGGAGCAAGGGAATTGGGGTGTATATGGGGGAGGGAGGGATGTCCCAGGGGAACACAACTGGTTCCTCCAAAGACATGCCTAAGTGGGGAATGGTGTCATAAGATAGTGGTCATGCTACCCCCCATAAGGTGATTATTAAAATAATTCTAAAAAGATAAAAGATGGTGAGCCTGTGGCATTTCATCCCAAAGGAATCAGTCCTTCCTTGGGCTTCATTCCTCCCTTCTTTCATAACCATACGCTCTCTAGTAGACAATTTCCTGAAATAACATGCTTCTCTAGAAAACGGAAAAGCTCACTGCTAGGCACACCGAAGCCTTCCTGTGGCTTCGGCTGCGCAGAATTACTTAATACATTTGTGTATCTTGAATGGATTGACGTTCAAATAGCCACATGTCCTGTCCTCTTCTCTCTCCTGGCCCATCTCTGAGTTAATGGTCCAGGTTTTTGTTTGGTTTCTCCTTCAGTCACAAGCTCATCTCACTTGGGTTGGAAATGCTCCCTGGAAATAATGGATGTTTTTGTAAGAGTGGCAGGCCATCTAGAAAAAGATCATCTCACACATGGATCTGTCTGGATGGCCAGAACATCATGAAGAAAAGAAGGTGCTCCAATTTACTTTCTTGTGCATTGTTTTTGACCTGACAGGAGGCATGCTGAGGGGGTGGGGAGAGATGAGTGCTTTCACACATTCATTACACTAATTAAAAAGGAAATTAGATTTTTTTTCAACAGTAAAAGCAAATGAGGTACAATATTTCCATGTTGTCCTCCATAAAATGAAAATGAGTCCCCAGACAAACCACAGAGGGAGGGGTCTTCACCTCTCTTGATCACTTTTAATTCTGAGGTAGGTTTTCAGCCTAATCCTTCAGGGTCATGTAATTTAAGGGAATACTATTTTTCCTGTCCAGGTTAAAACTACATGTTTACTGAGCAACTATTTTAGGATCTGCTCGGTTAGGCTTCTCATTCAATATGAAAACATAAGCTATTTATTCTACCTGCTAGGGAGTGCAGTCTGGTAGGAAAGAAGGAAGAATCACTTGTGCTGGACAGATGTTCTGGTTTGCCCCCTGTATTAGCCAGCTCTTTGTCACTATAACAAAACACCTGATGCAGGGTATTTATGAAGTAAAAGAGAGGTTTATTTAGCTGATCTTTGTGCAGGCTGATCATTCAATGGCATTGTAAAAGCATGCTGAGGGCCATGTCAGATCACTACAGGAGCTATTGCAGGGCAAGTGATTACTTGCTGAACCCGGAAGAGGGCGAGATTAGAATCTCATAGTCCCTTCAAACAGACAGCACGTCCCCAATTAACCCAAGGCCTTCCTGTTTGCTCTACCTCCCAACAGTGCCCCTAGACTCTGATTAGATTTGAGACACTTTCGTTCAAATGCCAAATATGACAGACAGAATGAGAAAGGAGATGGGCTTAACAGATGAGTAGACCTGGAAGACTTGGAGCCACCTGAGGGCACAGGAGGCTCTGTTTTGTTTATTTCTGTGCCTTGGGGCTAGCTTGCTGTCCAGCCAGAAGTAGAACTACTTAAGTACCTGGGAATTTAGATTTTAGAGCAAGACTGAAAACAGGAAAGGTCAGGACAGTGGCAAGGCATACCTAGCCAGGAAGGTCACCTGGGAACAGTTGTAATAAGCTATTATTAATAACGGTGATGATACTAAAACAAGTTTGGCCAATAGCCATGCCAAAAAACCCCACAAAAGTATATTAAACCTTAAGTACAGGGGGGAAAAATACCTTTTTACTCTTTCTTGTTTTTTTTGTGCTTTACCTTTGGGGTTTAAGGCTACTGGTTCTCATCTCTAGAAGCTTCCTTCAACCAATTTTTCCAGAAAGAACTGCAGAAACAATGACTCTATTCTCTTTGAGCTTGTCTGTGTCTGCCCCTGTCTTCTGGGAGAGCTATTGGAAGAGAGGCAAGGACAGGAAAGGGGAAGAGTACCTTCGAAATACAACGTAAGGCAGATCAATACAAATAGCACAGGCTTTCTTTCCTCCTCTCAGTTGGAAAGAACACATTCAAAATGACAGTTTCTTGGAGCTAGAGCAACTCCCCAGAGGCTAATCCTAGAATGACATTTGCTTTCCCCACTTTTTGTTACACATGAAATTCTGGAATAACTAGACCTTGGCCTCAACAGTCTACCTTCCAATTAACGTGTTCCCACATAGATGCTGATCGGAGGTT